AAAAAAAAAAAAAAAAATTGTTTTAATCTAATTATAGCATAAATAATAAACCCTGAAAATTTAAGAAAAATATGAGGTAGTCGTGCAACCACTTCTGGATGATTTGACATGGATTGACCCAATTAAGTTATAAATAATATAAATAAGACGAAAGTAATAGTATTGAAAACTATATCTATAACGGCCACTCAAACACAACTGCCCTTTATTAGCTCGACGTCAGTAGGTCCGAGCTACAGACGAGTAGAATTATCACATCAGCATCTCCCTCTATGTTAATTAATATGTATTACGAATTGAGTAAATGGAAATAAAACGTGTGCAATATAAGTGGTAAAATATAAATGTTCTTACAATATATTAGTGATGCTAAATCTCAAAATTAGTTTGATGAATTTTTTTTTTTTACATATTTTAAGGCATACCTAATGAAAATTTATCCACTTATGAAACTTAAATACTTCATCCGATGTGTTTGTAAATTATAATAGTGATTTAGATAATATTTATTTAGAAAAATTTCCAATAATTTCCTATAACAATAATGTAGGAAAAGAAATGAGAAATTTAATAAGTAAAATTCCCTTTAAGCATCCATGTTCAAACTTTGATTATAATTTTTTAAAAACCTTTACATAAGACTGAGAATATTTAATTCTATAAAATTTTTGAACAAAAATATTTTATCAAAACATAGGAAACTTGTTATACTAACACATTAAAACAATGCATCAACATGTTTTAGATTATTTGAAAACGTTTTTGTTATACTTTAATTTATTAATTGTTTAACTATTGTATAATTTATGTGATGTGTGTGTATGTTGATTTTGAAACTTCATTAATATGTAAATTGATTTTTTTTTGTTTTTAGCTTTGATGCAAAGCTGAGAAGGTATTAATATTACTATGATGTATTTTATAAAATAATTTATTCAAAATTAATGAAAAATTTTAGAAATTTTTGTATAAAATATTTTAAAAAATGTATAATTCAATTGAACACGAATAATTAGTTTTGGTGTTTTTATTTAGTTAATTGGAATCATCGTGTTATTATATTATTTAAATATATTATATACTTAGATATTTATGTAGTGTTGTACACGTTCAAAAATATAAAAAAAAACATAAATACCATAATTAAAATTGTTACTTTATAATTTGAAAAATTATATACACAGTTTTAGTGTTGAAAAGTGGTCACGCTGATTTATTTACATAAAAATGGTGGACTGATTCTAATCACCTCCTAATTTTCACTATGTAAATTTTTATGTGTCCAATCTGTTTATTCTGTGATTTTATAAACATTTAAGAACTTTTAAAAGCACAGATATAGATAATAAGTTTATTATCTATATCTGTGTTTAAAAGATCTATGTTTTTGTTATTATACACTGATAAGAGATAACAAAATACCATACGTTTAACATAGAAAGGTTATTTTGTAGAGATAGGTGCTTCATAATCAAGAACATACATTTTGTTGTGAATTATTTTATGAAAATAACAAGTTGTAAAATTAGCAACTACAACTTTAGGAAATATTCCTTACTCTTTAATTTACATTTAAAATGGCTGCAAGAGAAGCCTCAAAAATTGCGTCGAAATCTGTGAAACCTTTATTGTCATCAAATAAATCCGAAGCAAAAAAAAGGGTGTTAAATTTATATAAGGCATATTACAGACAAATACCTTTGATGTGTAAGTATTATAAACTAAGCAATGAGTTAAACCAATTTATCTCATTATGTCTTATTTTTAATGTTGGAACTATACAATTCTTTCTCTGCATATCAAAAGAACAAATACCTTTTAAGTTTCTCTTTTTTTGACTAAAAAATATCTTTAAAAACGATTAATTTATAATTAAATGAAAACTAAATATTGTATAAAAATAACAATGTATGAAGTAAAATGTTATATATACACAATTAAATTTAGTACATATTATAGGGTGTAAGTAAGGAAATAGGTTTCTATTGTTCTCATTTTTTGTAACTGACCTGTTTCATTGTATTTATGTGTGTATGACTTTATAATAGTATTAAATAAAAATTTATTGTACACATTTTACTATAACAACATTCTAAGTTTTCTATATGAACTTTAGTATTTGATCATAATATACCAGTTACAAAGGAAGAATGTCAAAAAAAGTTGAAAGAAGAGTTTTTGAAAAATAAACACGTTACAGATGTTAGAGTTATTGATATGTTGGTTATCAAGGTAATTATTTGTAAATTTTTTTTGATAAGTAGATCTATATTTATTATTACAGAATGAGCTTTTTAAATAATTAAATTTAAAAAGTCTTTTTGTAATTTTGTTGGTTTGAAAAAATGTATAATCTACATAACAGTTGTTTAGCTATTAATTTATGTAAATATCAAATCATTAGGTTGCTTAAATTTATATATCAACATAAATGTTTTATTAACTATTCATAATTTGATTAACTATGCCTTTTAAGATTTTTGTTTGTTTACTTGTGTTTAATATCATATGTAAAAGCTATTACTTGTGTCAGAGAGTATGGGAAAACCTAAATAGCCCAGTAAAATAAAATTATATCCTTTTACCTTTGCACCAAAACACAAAACTTTGAAGATTATAGTTTAAACATTGACTTACAGTCTTAGTGTTAGATTTTTGAGTTCTGAGAAAAATTAATATATAAATAATAAAATAAATTTTTTTCTAGGGACAAATGCTGTTGCAAGAAATTGTTACCAAATGGGCTCAAGAATGTCACATAATGAGTTTATTTAAAGATTCTGTAGAACCTAAACCTAATGATTTTTTATCTAAATTTGTAAACAATAATGACTCTCAGTAGCAATTAATATAATTATGTTAATAATGTATAATTTTTGTTTCTAGTTGCAACTAATTTTGTTTATAGGAATTTAACAGGTATGAGCAAAATAGGTTATTATTTACAATGTCATTCAAATTTAATTAAAATTACATAAAGATGAAAAATTCTTTATCAATATAAAAAGTTGAAAGAAAATAATTTTGCACATTGTTGTTTCATATTAAAATTAGAGTCTATATGAATAATTATAAAGTAAATTAATAATTTTTGTTTGTTGAGCAATTCATCTTGTTAAAGTGACATAGATAGCTTGTACATAAGAAAAATAATTTGTAGTATCTTATAAAAGAATACTTATTATAATATTATGGGGTGCACCATGGAAAAACTTTTTTATTTTTTATTAAATTCTTTGAAATATTTACATTTAAATTTTCCAATATCCTTAGAACTACAATACTCATTAGAAAAAATTGTTTGTTACTTTTACTTTTAAAGGTTATTATTACAGCTATCTTGAAAGAGGTTTTTTAACCTAGGACAGGTGGTTACTACATTTATCAAGTTAATATCTTGCTCAAAAACCGAATATACCTGTGACTGAGTTTTGAACACATAACAGTATGTTCTAGATTCAGTCAAACTATCCCTTCATTTAAAGATCCTTTAAACTAAAATTTACTTGGAAATAATATAAATTATATAAATAGTATATCATTAAGTTTTACATTGTAAACACCTAATAATAATTTTTATTTTAATGAAGTTCTTAAAATTTAAGCCTTTTATTTTTGAAAATAGTTTAATTTAATTAGTTTCCAATAACTAATTAAATAATTATCTTTCATCCTTTCAGGGTTAGAAACCCTTAAACTAAATTTTCTTAAATGGCAACTCTTATTATTAACTTTATATAATGTTATAAAAAAAAATTACAATAATTTTTTTTATTTGATGGATTGTTAACTCTTCCAATATCTTCATGCATCGAGTCAGCCTAGTTACAGCGCAAATAAGCTATACCCGCACTACAACCCCTGTGTGCAAATATTCATCTCGGAGATGTCGCGTGATATCACTTCGAGAAGTGTGATGATACATACTAGTGCCTATGTTAGTTGTTAAGAAGTACTGGCTATCCTTTAACACGACTAGTGAAGTTTTTGCATGCAACACAACAAAACCGAAATCCATGTGACTTCTTTAGATAATTAAAAAGTACACGCAAAGACGTTATAGATAAGTCTCGGTCATGTCACAAATACGAGTATTCTAAGCATTAAATTAGTTAACATAGATGTAACAAAGAGTAATTGACTGTGTATATACATAGTCAATTGTATAAATATATTTATACAATTACAATTAATTAATTAATTATTCGATACAATTTTTTCTCATTAAAGTAATAAAATTTATGTTGATGGGAATTATAAATAACCAAAGTAGATAATTAATTTGTAGTGTGTTTCAATAATTTCAGCAAAATTATAAATATATAAGGTAAAAATTACGCAATAAACCTATTTATATCATTAAATATATTTAAATATACATACTCTATATATCAGACATGATAATATTAGTAATTTAAAATAATGAATTTTAAAAATATCAATACTAAGAATTTTGCTTAATAACATACAAACTATGAACAATTTATATAATAGTTGATAACTACTTAAGGGTGTTATGATACCCTTATAAGATCTAAATCTTAGACTTAGATTAGATTAAAAAATGTAACAACTTACTTATAGAAATCATGTAAATTATATATTAAAGTTAAATTAATAATAGTATTAAATTAATTGTATAGTATAGTTATAAATTAAGAAAGGTAAAAATTTAATATTTTTAATAAGCAATTCTATTGTATTATTACATATAATGTAGAATAGCTACAACTAAAGACTTTTCATTTGTAGGTATATACTAACATTTGTATTTTAAACAATAATTGCAATTATTACAGTTATTTTTTTGGGGTATAAATGTTGCTCATTATAAGAACAAAATGTTTTTATTAAGTAAGATGATAAAGGGATTTGAAACATTGTAGAATAATTTAATGGAGTTACAACAATACATATCTAAACATTGAGATCTTTAATAATTTTATTAACCTCTACCAATTCTTAATATTTTAAAGTGAAATGTTTGTCCCTAATATTAGTGGAACTTACTATAAAATTATTAAGAATCAATTTTTTATAGTGTAATTCATTTGAATTTTCACACTTTATTTCATTTTTTAACATCAGATAATTTAAGGGGTTACATTTGGTATTGACTTGTTTGATGATTCTGTTTTATATATGTTGGAGTGGATACCTCAAGTTTTTGCAACACTTGAATTTCTACCAATATTTATTTCACATTGATAATTCAAGTGATGTTTCCACCTCTGCATTACTTGCAACCAAAACACAAGGTAAATTAACTGGTTCAGTTACTATAGTACCCATATTACTGGAAATAATTTTGTTAGTTAGTACAATTTCCTGATCATTTTGTTCTTAGCTTTTATGTTCTGAAAATAACATAACCTGATTGGCAACATCAATTTTTGTACTTCTAAACAAATATTTTCTAGATAGAAGTTCACAATTTTTTCTTTTTCGATTCTGAAGATTGCAAAAAATGTAATCAAAATATAGAATAAAAAAAAAATCATCCTAGTAAATTTAATATTTTCTCTTGATTTGATACTATAATTAATGGCGCGAAAAAAAATTATTATTATTTATATTAATTTATTTACTATTTTTACCTGTTTAAAATTTGAGTTCTCTATCATTTTCAAAAAAATATGTTTATACATAAACGCGCAGAGAATAGATCGCATAGATCTCTTATTTTTATGTTGTATTTTAATCAACAATTGTATTCGCATAGATGTTTAAGTCAGCGTATGCACATAGGTACACAAATGGCGTTATCCAATTACTCCGATGTAGTGGTGTAAAGTACTACCTAGACCACAACACGCAACAATATCCTTAATATAGTCTTTGGATATATTCATTTGACGCAATGAATCCAAGAAATTTAACAAAATATATATAATACTAATAAACCATTGACTAGTTAAACTAATTACAGTACGTTTTGTAACTATGATGTTAAGCAGGAGAAAAAAGATCACGATGGGGTGGGACTTTAAATATTTTTAAGTTCTAAAATCTAGTTAACCTAAAGTCATGGAGGTCCAAGTAATTCGGGCAGCTGAATCTCATAGAATTAGGTGGTTGTTTATCAAGTAATTATATTCAAAATTTGAAAAAGTGGTAAAAAAGGTATTCATAATATGTATTTGAATGCTAATAAAAATATATAGAGTGATTCTTTTAACATTAGTCACTTAAGTTTTCTTAAAATAATATTTTTTAGTTTTTGTTAGTTACATGTGTATTTCAATTTATCTGTTATAAAATATTTTTTATGTTTATTCCTTATTTCGTATAGGGGTATCAACTTTATTTTTTTTAATTTCAACGTACATATTACATATAAAAATGAAAATGACTGGCTATAACAGCTTTTGAACCAGTATTTTAGAAGTTATTTATATTTAAAGAAATGACTAGAGGTGAAGAGTGGGTGCTTCTATTTTATCACTAGACATTTCTTTGCCTCACTCCTCCTTCCACCTATGTATAAAAATGTTAATAACTTCTGAAATACTGGTCTAAAAGTTGTTATCGACTAGTCATTTTCTTAGTTGGATCATTTTCTCATATTTAATCTAATAAATTATGTATGTTACCATCGTCATGTTATATTTTATAAGTCATTTAAAATAATAAAGAATGAACATAAAAAATATTTCATAACAGATAAACAGAAATATATGTGTAACTAACAAAAACTAAGAAAAAATTGTTTTAAGAGAAATTGAGTAGCTAATGTTAAAAGAAACACTCTGTATATTAATATTATATTTTTGAATACTTGAAAAATTATTCAAATACTTTGAGAATATTTAAAAATACATTGTATATTTAATACAAAATAATTTTTAAAGTTTTAAATTTTATAAATACTTTTAACAATATTTATAATAAATAATTGGTAATTCTGTATTGAAAGCTATTATAAAAAAAAAAAAAAAATTGGCGTTCACTAATGATAAAATTTGAAAGGCTAAATTTATTTTCCTCCCACCCTACATTTTAGCTTCGATGCGAAGCTGAGAAGGTATTGGTTTTACTAGGATGTGCGTTATTTTTTTTTTTTTGTGTCACCACTTTTTCTCAGCTTTCACCGAANTTTTTTTTTTGTGTCTGTTACCACTTTTTCTCAGCTCTCACCGAACCGATTTCTTTCAATGATACGTCAAAAGATCACAAATTGTATCTAGTCGAAGACATTACCCTCAAAAATTGAAAAAAATTCCCTCTTTCCCTGTAAATGGGAGAAACCTCCAAAAAAATTACGAATTTAAAAATCGCTAATTTTCGAAATTTTTTCAATTTTTTTTACTTAAAAGTGCCATAAATTTTTCAAAAATGAACATATCAATATAATTCTTTTTTATACATATCTTAGATATTTACCTATCATTTTATATATTTTTGTGGACATTTGATCCCTTATCAGCCCACGGGATGGGTTTCAAAATGACAACTTTTTCATAAAAAATTTACTTTTTCAACTTAACTTTTGAAAGTGTTCCGGAAAGTCTGACACTTTTATATATATCTTAAATTAAAGCTAATGTAATATACTTTATTATGAAAAAAAAAATGTCGGACTTCATTTTATCTTTATGGTGAAAATGGCTACTGAATGCTATTTTTGTGTGAAAATTCTCGATTTTATTTTTTACATTTTTAACTTTATAATGCTATAACTTATTGAAAAGTGTATGGATCAACATAATTTTTTTATGAGAAATAATATTTTTTAATAATCCCTTTTTCATTCGACATACTTTATCTTAATTAGGATATTAATAATGAACTAGCAGATCATGTAGCTTTTGGAATAATCCACCAATTTTTTAAAATTAAACACTATCTAAAGATTTGCATCGAAGCGTTTTTTTTTTGATAGTGATTTTAATCACTGTTGGATATCATAATACTTGATCCAACTATGCCACGTCACCACTGTGCCGCAACCCCCCTGTGCTTGGTTTTTTTTGTATGAAAATATATATAAATTTTTTTTAATGTTGGGTGGACTATGGCAACATTTTGGTGGATAATAAAGCAATAATTTTTTTATTTGGCTTGAACAACCAACTATATCCAATAAGTTAATAGTTATCAATATTTAAATATAAAATAAAATTACAAAAAAAGGGTATTTAGTACTAAAATACTTTTATTCAAATAAAATACAAGACTAGCAATACGTAGCAATTGATTCGCAATATTGTCTTATAGTAGAAATGATCTCACCCCAATATGAAACTTATCATCTATTCTTTGATTTCACTTCAGTTAATAACTACATAAATTGATGTATTTATCTGATGTGTTAAATGTGAAATAAATTTATTGTCTTTTAATGTATTATAATTATTTAAATATATTTTACATTTTTACTATGATAATTAATCATTCAGCAAAATTTTTAAATTGATGTATTTTGTTTTTTGAATGAGATTTATTTTTAAATAACCCAAATATTTTGATTAATTAATTTTATGAATGTTTATCATTTTAGAATTGGTTTTAACTAATTATTTATTAATTGAAGTAATAAAATATGCAGCCTTCCCAAGCGGTTATGGTAGGCCAACAAGGTTTTAATGTTGGGCCTGTACTACAACCTAACATGCAACCACAAGTTCCTGGAACACAACATGTATTAGCTCCACCAGTAAATCAAAATCCAGTTGGAGTAAGTTCTGTTTCACAACCATCAGTACCACCTTCGAATCCAAACCAATCTACATCAAGTAATCAATTTAATACTGCTACATTATGCCGATTTGGGCAAGAAACTGTTCAAGAAATAGTCTCGCGTACACATGAAGTATTTCAAATCCTTAAAGTTATTATGCCTCCAAATGGTACTCCTTCTGGAGCAACAATGAGTAATGATCGGCGTATAAAAATGCAAGATCATTTAAGACACATAAAATTACTTTTTAAAAGGTTAAGAATTATATATGAAAAATGTAATGATAGTTGCCAATTACAAGGTATGGAATACATGCATATGGAAGGATTAATACCACTTCAAGAAGAGTGGGACATGAAATCTGAAGAAAAAAAAACTAGCGAAACTTACCGTGTTGTCAATGATGAATTAAAAGAAGTTTCTGAACAACTAAATGGAAAAAATCGACATTTAAAAGAAATAATTGATCATCTTCGCAGAATTATTTGGGAGATTAATACTATGCTAGCAATGCGGCGCTCATAAATAATAGTAATGTTATAAAATTTACCTTAGTTGTTTATTATGATAAAATCTATGGTAAGTATATAGTTAGTGATGAAAGTTAAGTTTTTAATTTTTATCAATTAAATTCTATACTAACGAAAAATTATTTTTTGATGTATATAAGTATTAAATTATTAAATCATAAACATAATTATAAAATTAAAGCCTAAAATCTGAAATTTTGTTTAATTGAGTAATGTACAAAAAAAAATCATCCAAATATAAGGTTTCATCACAGAATAAACAAATCATTTTTTTTTTTCAAAAAAGTAACCATTTCAATTTAATCTGTTGCATTTTATGTATAAAATGTATTGATTTCTTAATTGAGTACTATTATTACACCTCAATAATTGAATAAATTTTTTGAAAAACTATTAATCAATTACATTATGTTTTTCTTGGACAATTACATCATTTTTGAATAGTATTGATATATATATATCCAGTCCATTAAAGAGTTAAATGATATTTTTAGTGAAAACAAGGCACAAATGGTTAAGCAATAAAATAATCGTAGAAAAAAAAAATGCTGTCTTTTACATCAATAATAAATATTTAATTTTGAAATTGCATTTTATAGTACCATCGAATAAGCCAACTTGGAGCACTTAAATACTTTACAGATTTAATCACTTAATTTTTGTAAACAAGAATTTTATGTTTCTTAATAATACTTTTAAAATTTTTATTGTGCTGTAGATTTATACGACTAAAATTATAATAGATATTTAACTGGCCCATGTTGAACTATTTGACAGTATTTAAAAAAATTGAACACAAATTAATTTTCATAGCAATAAAATATTTAGATGAATCATTTAAATGTCAAGAAAATAGAGCAGAGATGATAATGCTTAGATGTATGAGTAGAGTGACTAGAGAAGATAGGATAAGAAACAAACATAAAAGGGAGTATAGATGTAACATCAATACTGGATAAGACAAGAGAAAGTAGACATAGATGATTTGGTCATGTTATGAGAAGAGAGGAATTGTGAAGCTATAAAAACAGTAATAGAAATGAATGTTGAAGAAAGAAGAGGTTGAGAAAGACCAAAAAATAGATGGAGAGATGTTAATGAATGTGATGTGAGAACTTTAGGATAAGGGTGGCCAACTCCAAGTGGTTGAGTTAAAGACAAAGAAAAAGATGAATCTTCTTAAAAAATACATTAACCTCTTTTGTGCGCTATATCTTAAATATAATTTCCCCTAATTTAATGTTTTTATACTAGATAAAAAGAAAAAAATTAGCTAATGATTATAATTTGATTTACTTTAATCTCGGTTTTTAAAGCAAAACTTATTTAAATTAGTTATTAGAAATTTTTAACTTAATGTAATTTACCATACAACATATTTTAAACTTAAATTTTTAAAAAATTATGCCTAAAATTATTTTGAAGAATATTTTTTTTTTTATGTATACTTTGATTACTAAAGTACACTAATTTCTATCATTGATAATAAGGGTAGTGTTTTTAACAGAAACTAAGTAAAAAGTATTTTTTTTTTTAATTTAAAATAATTATAAATAATTTCGTAATTATATATGAGGGTAATATAAAAAATTCATCATTATTTTATAAATGTATTAATAAATTATACATAATATAAACAAAAAATTTACTATAATATTTATTAAGCTCTAGGTTTTTTATCTATTTTTTCAAACATTTTCAACACTTTTTTGCTAGGTGTTAAACCTTGAGATAATCCAGGTCTTTTTTGTTTTCCTAATTTTTTCATAAAATTCTCTTGGCTTTTACTATTTTTTGAACTTTCAGATACCTTTATTTCATTAACAAGTTCTGAATCATGAGCATACTTGCATTTACTACCAAAACGACAACGACCTTTTTTGTTCATCCAACAAATACTCTTTCCATTAACCATTATAAGGTTATCTTTAGATGGAACCATTTTAACATGTTTTTCCAAGATTGCATTTTTAGCACGTTCTGCTTCTAGATATGGATTCCTAAAAACTGATTCACTAATAATACCAGTCTCCTTAAATCTTGGGGGTGGTAGCTTGTTTTCTGAAAGACTTGTATCAATCACTCTATTATAATGAAAATATAATATATATATATATATATATCTATAATAATAATGTTAACATAGAACATTTTAAAATAACAAATACTGTTATAAGATATAATATGGGGCAGTGACGTATAGTCAGGATTCTTACTTGGGGGTCTAAAGCCCTTATTTTTTTTGTTTATTATACACTTTTTACTAATGCCAAAGTTATATAATGTTAATATTAATGATTGGCTAATGGGGAATATAGTGTGGCAGACACAGGAAATTAATTGGTCTCTAGAATTGGCACTTTCGATGTGAAATATCAAATAATAACTGTCTAACTATTCGATATTTGTGCACTCTTCTTCTTCTTTTTCCTCGCCTTAATCCCAACTACTTGGGGTCGGCCACTCTTATCCTAAAATTCCACTTAACACAATCTCCCACATCATCTATGCTCACATCAGCTGTCTTCATATCGTATTCTATAACATCCCTTTATCTCTTTTTTGGTCTTCCTCTACTTCTTTTTTTTTTTAACATTAATTGTTGAAATAGACAAAAAAAATAGTTCATAAATCTATTTTACTATACATTGCCTTCTGGGTAAAAATAAATAAATAAAATAAAAAATTTCAACCTAAATAGATTACTTGGATGAAATGAAGTTTAGCTTGCATATAATTTTTTTTTTACATTTATTACAAATATGCAAAAATAATATACCGATGAAAATTAAATAAATAGTTATAGCACTTTAAAGTTTGCTTATAACACTGTTATCAGGTTATACCTACTCTAGTAATATTCTTTCTAATTTAGTTTTGGTCAACAATTTGTGAAGGGAAAGTGTTCAAATTGATAGTATCAGTAACTAACATTGTAATTTTAGAAATTTGGAAGCCTCTACCCCTTTGTATTTATTCAGGTATTTTTCAAAATAATGTGCATTTTGCAAAGAAATTTTATTAATTAAAACTATTTTTGTGATAACCTTTGCCAGCCAGCTCCAGTGATAGGCTCAAGCTTCTTCATAGATCTTGTGGGATGGGGACCGTACCTTCAGACAATGAGAGAAGAAGATCTCTAGTTTAATTCTAACATATTCAAATCCGACTTATAGCATGGTGAACACACAAGTACAAACTGTTAGACAAAATGGCATAATAATGTTTTTATTAGAATTTTGTGTAAATAAATAAAAAATTAAAATGTACGAATCCTAATAACAATGTTGTATGCAAACTTTATAGTACTATGACGTTTTAACTATTTTTGACAAACATTAATATTGAATATTCGTTATCAGTGTAAAAAAACAAATTGATTAAAATAATAATAATGTGGGAGCTAAATTGTGTACATGCCGATTACTTTAACAAATAATTTAATTAAATAAATATTACTTCTCAGTACTAATGTTTTCACAGATTTTTATTTGATTACTTTCATCTGAAGAATCTATATCTGAATCACTACTATAATCGGCCACCAATGAAGTCATTTTAGTGTCAAGTAAACATACATTATAACGGTTTCCTAAATTGAAAAAAAACATTTTTAATACTTTAGATTGACACTAATTACTTAAAAGATTAAGAACATAGAATGACTAGAAGCATAAGAGTATGCTAAAATGTATAATACTTGTGTTATATACCGTAATATTATAAGACGTATAAACATACTTCTTAGAATAAAATTTACAAATCCTCAATGTTAAAATCTAATGTTAAAATATTGTTATAGTTAAATTAAAAGCAATAATGTTATCTGTTATTATACAAAAATTATCAATAAACATTATTATTAATTTTACCTAGTAATGGTTACGGCATACAAACCCCGGGAGATGGTAAGAGTTTTTTTTACTGATAAGCATATCTCATGTAAATACCGACAAACACAACAATCTGTGATTCCCGTGCTTTTGATTATTCACATATCGCATTTTATTAAGTGTAAATTAGATTTTTTATGTTTTATCTATGAGTCCAGTAAATATTAATTGATAACCATCGTTTGAAGTGAAATTTAAAAATACATAGAAAGTGAGATGTTGGTACTGGGTAAGTACTAAAATTATTAACTGTGATAATTTTATAGTTTAGCTAATATTTTTATTTTTACATGATTCATCAAAAGAAAATTGTAACTCTGACTCTTTGATGGTTGATATAATATAGTTAGAATCAAAGTATATTTTGTAATAATTGAGATTTCGTATTTTGTGAGGATTTTTGTTCAAACAGTTTAAATTTGATAATTAAATTTTGAAAGAAAGATGTATTAATATATATTAAAAAATAAATTTACAATATTTATTTAGGTAATTAGTTATAAGTTATTAATTTATAATAAATGTATATTTTTTTTTTATTAGTTCTAAAAAGCTATAACAGTAATTATTATTGTTATTGTGTGTTATGAATTCAAGTTTTTATTTAGGTAAATATGGGTGATTTAGATGTTTTAACTCCACTTATAAATAGTCAAGAACCTTCTTGTAGTCAAGGATTTTCAGTTATTGATAGTTCTAATGCATGGGGACGACTATATCCAGAGAATGAATCATTAAAAATTGTAGGTCAGTTTTATCAGTTTGTTCGAAATTTTTATTTTTATAATTGTTATTTTAATATTTATTTATTTTTTTGGAAAGATTTAGTAAAAGATATTTATAAAGTTGGTCGACAAGCTCATGATGTTGATTGTCAATTTACAAAGAAATGTTTTAGTACTAAAATTATGAATCATATTAGTAAAATCCATTTTGTTATTACTCGAGAGAAGTTAGATAATAAAGGATTTATAGTTTTTATTACTGATACAAGTTCCAATGGTACTTACTTAAATGGTGAATTAATTGGAAAGAATTGTCGATGGGTTCTATCTAATAATGATAAAATTGCAGTTATATCAAAAAGTAACAAAGGTAGAGTAGTTATTTTTTTATAAAATGTTTCAGGTGCAAAAATATTTTATTTTTGAAAGTTTAGTCTTAGATTTATTGTAGAAAGAAAAAAATTTAATAGCACAAAGATGTATAATTGATTGCACTATTAAAAATATTTGGTCAATACTAAATCATAGTATTAATATAAGTGTATACATTTTTTAACTTAAACCTTTCCTGTCCAACAGAACTTACATGTCCCACTGTAAAATTACATTCTTTTAGTATATTTTGAACGGTATACCTAACTAGTAGAACATTGCTGCTTTGTTAAAAGATAAAGAATAATGTTACTCATAAATTCCTGAGTATAATTAATTTATTATCATAATTTTTAAAGATATAGGCAATTAAAATATATTATTTTTAACTGTAGATTTTCTTCATGATAATGGAAAAATATTTTATTTGCAATCATTATTTTTTTGCAAGATATCAGAATAAAATTTGATCAGGAATGGAGAAATTATTGTGACAAAAATTATTAATAAAATTTATATTTCCAGTTTACACTTTTACAAATAATAATTTAGACAACCCAAATTTCCCAATGGAAGTTAGATCACAATTAGCAGTTTATGGAATTTTAGGCACAGGGACTTTTGGAGAAGTCCGTCTTGCTTTTGGAAAAGTAAATATTCTATCTTTATTCTAAAACCATTAAAATTTTTATTTTATACATTGTTCCATAAAATAATTGGTATTTTATAACAATTAAAAATTTTATTAGAACATCATTAAGTTTTTTTTATAACTCTTCTGTGTTTATTATTCGTATTTAATTATTTTCTTTAAGAAATTATGAACATTTTTGAAAAAGTCTTCCTAATATAACCCCACCCATTTAATGTATGTTTTTTCAAAGGTAGATAAATAAAAAGTTAGTGTCAAGTTAATTTCTTTTTAATTTTATTAGTTTAATTTCCAAGTCTGGTATGGATTTTTTCCATCACATCTAGCTCTTAAGATAGTTATCTACTAAATAATTCATAAAAAAATATAAAAAAAATTTTTCTTCAATCTTTCTAAATCTGTTTCAATCATATTATAAAAGATTTGTGAGGAATTTGAAACTGCTAAAACAAGTACAACTTGTTTTTTTGGGCTTTTAAACTTGATTGTAGCATTCCACAACTTTTGATGTAACATTTTATTTCCTGATGAAATATTGCTCTTTGTTCTTCTTTAATGTATTCCAAGTTAACTAGGAATTTATTCAAATGAACGAACAGATAATGTTTATTGCTCATATTAAAACCCTAGATATGATAGTTTTTATCATACAATTAGTAATGGCTACTTCATTTTCATTTTTATTGTTTCCTAAAAATATTTCAGTTATATCCTTAAATGAAACCAGTTTTTTTTTTAATATTTATGATAAAATCTATAAGTTATTAAAGTTAAAATGAAATTTTCACAAAATTGTTTTTATGATTATAATACTTTTACTCTTATCTTATAATCCTATTTTTTTAATTAATTAATTAATTAATTGAACAAATAATAAAGATAAAAAAAAATCTGATTATACCACCTTGTTTAGTTTAAAAATATATGTAAATGGGTGAAACATAGATTTACTTAATTTAAATATAACTTTGATATAAAAGTAATTATCAGTAACAACAACTATTTTATAATTTAGAGATTTTAGCATGTTTTTTCTATTAATAGCAATTATATCAGTTTTAATTACAAATTAAGATAAAAAATAAAAATTTTTAAAATCTTCATAAAATTGTCTATTTAATGTTTTATAAATTAATAACTGGGAATTAAACCAGATTTTAGTGAAAAATTTAGTTGAATTATCTTAACTTTTTGATATATTTGGTTCTTTAATCATGTTTAAGAGCCCAATAAAAAAAAGTTAAACTTGTGTAACTTGAGTTAATTATTTCTATTAACTTCACATCTTTATTTGCTATAATATAAGTAAATTTTTATAATTCAGTACATAAAATAGTACATAACTATTTAAAAATTATTTTATAACATAATTTCTACATAAAAACCATAAACATTGACAAAATAATATAATAAGTTGGTTTTAATAAATATTTTTTCTAAAATACAGGATGATTAACTATGACTTATATAACAATTTTATTCTATTCCCTTTTCAACTCCATAAAATAATATTAACTTTAGTTTTTTAAATAAAAATATGTTGATATGCGTAAAAATAAGGGAGTAACTCGTTTTTTTTTCACTTCTCAGGATATCAAAAAAAAAAAAAAAAAATTACTCTGATTACATGCTATATGTTTATCAATTTTCTTAGTTGTTTAATTTCGATTGAATCCAAATTGTCGATATTTTGATGAAAGTTAAAAAGAAGTAAAATCTAAATTCAAATACATCATTATTGTATCTTTATAGGAAAGTGTTAATAATTTCCAAAATAATGGTTCAAAAGTTGTTGCTGATTGATGATGTTCCACTGCCTTAGTTAGATCTTATTTCAAGCGTTTAAACACACATATGTCTATTTAAATCATAACAGTTGATAAAATTTTAATTATAATGAGGAAGATAGGAACAAAAATTTTTTTGAAAATTATAGAATGTAAAATACCAACTTCCGAAAAAAAAAAACTATTTTGTGTTATATTTTCAAAGATCTCAATGACTAAAAATGCCATCATGGCTCATAATAATTACTAAAAGAGTATAAAGTATTTAAAGCTTAACTGCTACATTTTTTTAAGTGGTATAAACCTCAATATTTTTCATTCTTAAAAGAATAGTTTACTCTGAATACCATAATTTTTTTTTACTTAAAATTTATGTGTTCTATTATACTGTAATTACCTAATTCTTTATACGAATAATGTTAGCACAGATTCCAATTAATAATTGCATCGATTTTAATCAGAGTTACTGAGTTTACTTTAGCCGTTGTGTAAACAGCATTTAAATTATTAAATTTAACTTTTTAGAAAACATCAGAATGTTTCGCATTGAAGAAGATTAAACGTGAAAGTTACATGGCATTTCGAGAACATACCATTTTATCTAGTTTATCCCATGTAATATAAATTTTATAATTATTTCCTTCATAAAGAATAAATGACTAACTTTATTTTTATTTCAGCCAAATATTGTTAAAATGGATAATTTTATTGATGCAAATGATGCCATATATATATGTTTAGAATATATGCCTGGAGGGTCTTTACAAGATTTGTTAAAACAAGTTAATACACTTAAAGAAACTGAAACAAAAATTATTTTATATCAAGTGGCTAGAGCTGTTCAATACTTGCATAATCGTTCAATTGCTCATAGAGATCTCAAAGTAATTAAATAAATAATCAATATATCATGAATAATTAAATATAATAAACTTAATTGTATCAGTAAAATTAACTTATTCTACTAGTTATTATTTACTATTCGGTAATGGTTAAAATTAATAAGAGCTTAGTAATGGCAAAACTTATTTATATTGTATTGAAATAAATTTCTTTATTTAAACAATATTGTGAGGAAATTTTCCAAACAAAAAGTAAGTTTGTAATGTTTACCCAGTGCTATGTTTAAAATTAAAAATAAATAATTATTACTAAATTAATATTTTAAATAATATTAGCCATAAGTATAATTATATTGTTATCTAAGTTAAATAATCTTTTTGTATAACTAAGATTTGTATTGCACTTTATAATCATGATCAAGACTGTGAATTTATGCATTTATAAATATGTTTGCTGCACTTTGATGGTATATTTGAACTAACTTAACAAAATTTATAAATTTATATAATTCATTGCCTAGTTATAGGCCTATTATAATTTTATTATATTGACTTTTTAAAGCATCCAAAGCAGAGTATTTTTTAAGGCATCCAAATACATCTTATGTCTTTTAAAACATGTTTCATGAAATCACAGATTCTGGAAGAGTGAGTGGTTGTAGATATATGGTTGATATATCAAATTTAACTTGACAAAATTATCTACATCGCTAAATAGGTATTTTTAATAAAATACACATTGAAAATAGTTATAGACATTCAAAGTGTACATTTTTTTAAAACTGTTATATTTTTATCAAAAGTTGCCCATATAGTGATTATAAGAAGAATATTATGAGAGTAAAAGATAATTTTTTCAAGTTAATAATACTAATTTATTTGTTTTAATCAGTTGAAGATAAAAAATCTGAACCTTGTAAAAAATATACATAGTATTTTTACATTTATTCCAATTCAGTTGAACTTCTGAATATATATATATTTTTGATTATTGTTAAACCCTTTTAGTTTTGTAAATCCAATCTTTTATCTACTATTGGGAGGTTCAAAATAGTATCTTTGTAAATCATAGAATTTATCACTCTATTGCATTTATTCTAGGAAATGCAAACAATAATATTTAGTAAATATTTATTTTTTATAAAAAATATTAGTCCAAAGGATATACCTTTATTTTAAATATTAAAATATTCTTAATTTAATATATATTTTAAGATGTCATGTTTTCAGAAAAATGATAAAAAGTAAAAAATAAAAAATGTTTATTGACTTAATAGACTGCTACAATTTTTGAACCTCCCTAATACTTTTCAATCATTATTCATAAAATGCAAATTCATACAAGTTAAAAAAATATTAATTTAACTAAAACGTTGGTTTATATTAATTAAAATAGTTAGGGTCTTGAGAAAGTGCACTGCTCGCTCTAACCTTGCACTGGCCACCAAATGGTTTAATAATTTTAAATATATGCACGATCATATATGGATAAGAAATAATAAAAAATTAAATGAATATCTTGAATTGTATTGTGTATAAATGCTAGTGTTTCTTTTATTAATAATAATTATTATTTCTTGTTAAATTTTACTTTTTTATAGCCTGGTAATATATTGCTTTCTTTATGCAATCCATACTGTCAAGTGAAATTAGCAGATTTTGGATTATCAAAAATTGTTACTGAGAATACATATTTGAAAACATTTTGCGGTTCTCTTGCTTACCTAGCACCTGAAGTTTTTGTTAACTATAAGCGGTTCTCAAACAGATTGTATGCTTATACAAATAAAGTTGATTCATGGAGCTTTGGGATTATTTTATATGAATGGTAAACTCTAGAATTAAATAGAATTTAAAATTAATAGTAATAATAATTTTTTTAGTTTAGCTGGCTATAAACCTTTTAGTGGCAATAATTTGGATGCAAAAATACAGAAAGGGTCTTATGACCTATCTGTTTTAAATGTTTCAAATGGAGTGAAAGATTTAGTAAAGAAATTAATTATGGTTGATTACACTATCAGATTTAATTTTGATCAAGTTTTGGATCATGCTTGGTTTGATAAAGATGTATTAATGAAACGTAATGTGAGTGACCTCATTGCTCAATTTAGCACTAGTATGAAAACAAGTAATAAACAAATAAAAGAAAAAGAAAATTCAACTAAGAAAACTAGATTTTGTCCTTGTTTAATGCATACAACCAGTTCTTGCTCAATGTAATAAAAACTATAAGATGAATAGTTTATTTTTATATATTATATATATTATTAAGGATATTTTGATTAAAATTTACTGTTACTTTGTTCCTAAGTCTGAGTTATTTCGGTTATTAATTTATTGTTTTGTTAATTGTATATATTCATTGTTTTTGACTGATAAGTAAGTTGACTATAAAATTAATATTTTTCTACAATAAAATAATATAAATTTTGATTGAATAAGAAAATTTGTAACTAATAATATTTAATTTCTATGAATAAATTTGTTTTTCCTTATATAATGTATAACATTTTATTGAATACTATATTACAAAATACCACCATTGTATATTTTTATATTACAATTTTTGTTTAATGGTAAGTACACACTTTTTGAAATATTAATGGAAATTTTATTTTGTGGTAAGCAAGATAACATAAGTCTTGTGTTAGGAATATGAAGCCAATATTTTCCAATAGCAGGCTTAAATTCATTATTTTCTGTTGATGTTTTTGTTGGTTCATCATTAAAATAATCACTTTGTTTAACTGCTAAGTTGGTAATTATTATTGTAACATTTTTTTGTGTTAAATGATGGAGGACTGAAGAAATATGACTTATATAACATAAACCTAAAAATACAATGTATTTAAGAAATATTTATCAAAGAAAATATTTTAAATCTACCTTCGTTTTTTGATGACCCAACAAATGATAAATAGGGTACAGTTATTGAATCAATAATTATTATATCTTCTGGATTTGGTTTAAGATTGTGCAAGCAATTGAATAAGTTATACACATCAGAAATGGAGTAGATAATAACTTTTTTCAAGATGGTGTTCTCCTTAAAAATAAAAATGAAGTTATCAAGTCAGAATTGCAAAACTAATGAAAAATACTTACTTGATTTAAAGGCAATAAACATTTTAGAGCAATAATTTCTTTTAATCTTTTGATAGAAAATTTAAATTTTGTGTCAATATATATAATTTGTTTACTAGAATGAAAATAAATGTAATTGGCTATAATGTTGTAACATAATATAGTTTTGCCACAAGATGATGGACCACAAAATTCATAAATTGTACCTAAATGTAGACCTCCATTTAAAAGTTCATCTAATCTGTTATAAAATTTATATTGCTAAGACACAGTTTGATGAATAGAACTACTAGATCACTTACTCTAAGATTCCTGTTTTGATTAAATTATTTATTGGTTTATTCTTATATAAACTATATCCATTAATAAATACTGAACAAGATACAATCAAAGCATCTTTTAATTTAGAAACGTCCTAAAAAAAAATTATAAGTTGATGAAAAAAGCACTAAATTTAAAGCACCATTTGGGTAGATTTCTAAAATGTCTATTGGAAAATATAATCTTTATTTGTCAAATCATTTCCCATACAATTTGTAATTGGTTTTGTAACATACCTTGCAACTCATGTTACAAATTTCTTGCAGATCTACACTAGGCTTTTGTAAAAAATCGAAAACCGTAAATATATTTCTTGAAAACAATTTACAGATGATCGTTTCATTAGGTAATAATGGAACTTTTAATCGTATCATAATTTTTTAGGGAAATACTGTTTTTTATTGATTAATTAAAATGGGATTTTCAGTCACGTAATCAAAAATTCAAGTTAGGGAAGTAAAATAATAAGGTGTTATAATATCACCGAAATAAAATCTATAATATTTACGCAATAACATCCAAATCTACCATCAATTATTGTAGTTACTGTTTATACCAGTTATTTTACATGTATTAGTATGGTCTACACTATTAATGAAATAATGTGAAGTTAAAAACTCGGACTCTACTTTAAAAAGACCAGCATAATCATAATACCAACAGGATAACATAATATTTATTGTACAACTATTAGTTTTTAACGAGATAATTTGTAAAATTTATAAATTATCAACATTGGTATTGTAGTCTATCTTACTACATTCAGGTTCATGTTTTTAGTAAACGCTAACTGGTATCACTATTAACCTAACCTTAACAAGTATTTAAAATTAGGCGGGATTTATTGGGCGCGTCACGCGTTCTTTATCGTTTATAAAGTTGTCAACACTGCATTTCTGTTATTGTTCAGAATAAAACGCGCAGCAAGGTTTTCGGTTTGTTTTCCTATTGGGCGCTTACACTTACCAGTTACCGCTCACTCACGATCGGCCCGTTCTAGCTTCTCTGACTAAACAGCGAATTCTCGTAGTCGATCGCGGCTTGACGCCATATTGTTGTGTTATTCACTCGTCGAGCACTTCGCATGAAAACGGTCAGTACTATTTTATACGTTGAGATCAATGAATATGAAAGTTATAGTGTGTTTTACGATTCGTTGTAGTATCGATGTGCGTACCAAATGTGTCGTTCCCGTTTAAACGGACTTGTATAATGGCTTGCGACCGATGGAGGGTAATCGCTTCGATCTTGGTAAGCATCCCAGATTCATCCGGCACAAAATGGCCGACCCGCCATTTCCTTCCGTTATTCCAGTATCACTAAATATTTCATTGTTTTTCATATATTAATATAATTGCTGTCTAGAATTTAATAATATATATATGTTTAGTGTTTTTAATTAAAATAATTTTTTATAGTTGGTGATGATTTTTATCAATTATTTCATCCCGCCTTTAACGACTATTATTATTTATATTATTTTTTGTTTTCAAAACATAACCTATAAAGTCCAGTCAATTATTTGATTTTACAAAATCTTAATTAATTTAGATACTTTAGTTAACTTGTACTTCGTATTTGTTTACAAATTATGTAGAAACTTATGCGTTGAAATGCGATGTTGGATTGATTATTTTGTCACAACTGATAATTGTAAGTTCATCATAGATCAACATGTGCTTGTTATTTTTTATTATAGTTGATATAACGACCATTTGTCATTAGGTAATTATCAGCTATCACATCTAACTTGACAACTTCATAGTAACAAATCTAAATTAATTCTTAATGTTAACATATTAACATTTGTTATAAAATATTATCCGATTAATTTCTCTGTTATAATTTTCAATCATTTTTACTTCAATTACTTTTTAATATTAAATTTATTGAAACTATATGGATAACATATAGTAAATGTTCAATTTCTCTTCAATATTTTCAAAATATTTAATGAATATTCTATCAAAATTATAATTTTTAAATGTATTATCTATCTATATTATAATAATGGTATTATTGTTTTAAACATTTTATTCCTTTTTTAATTCTGTTAACTAAATAATCAGTATTTTAATGTAAATTTTGAAGTTAATTATACATTTTTATGTATTGTTAATAATGTATAATTTGAATAGAGATTCAAAACATTTATTTTACTAACATTTTCATTTTTATATGGAAACCATATTTGTAATCAACATATTAATTTTAATAAATATTATATTATTAAAAAAAATTTTATTTTTTAATTGGATTGTTAAAAAAAAAAAAGAATTTGAATATATTTTTTAGTTAAATTCTTAGTTATAATAAAAATTAATTACAGAACATTAAATAGTTGAATAGTTTTTGGAAATTAAATTTTTTTTTTTTATGACATTCAATCCTTGTAGCTTATATAAATTTGTTATGTTATTTTTGTTCTCAAATATTTATATCCCTTTAATTTTTTTTAGCAAAACTAAATGGATAATCTAAACGCAATTAACAATTGTTCAGAGTTTAAAATCATTTATGGCCACTGCTTCCCAACTGGGAGCTGGGACCATTGATTGTCACAAACATAACAAATACGATGGAAATGGCCATCAGGTATGTATATTAAATTTTGAAATTTTAATTTATTCTTTATTATATGCAGATAAAATTTAAATACTTTTATGGTATGTTTAAGGTGACATCTGGTATTAAATTTATACCAAACAATTGTGATAATCTAATTGGTGTAAATGGCTCCTCACATGATGTTGAGAACACCACCTATACTTCTGACAATGACGATTCTGCAGATAGTAAAAATCGACTTTCGAGGAAGCGAAAGTACTCTGCAGAATGTATGTTGAAATAATTATTTAAATAAAAGTTGTAGTGATGCTTTATTTTAATTTTGAAGTAGATTTCAAAACTTTAAAAAGGCTTATTTTCATAAGTAACTTTTCAAAGTCCATCAAAAATTTGTAAAAAAATAAATATTAAACCATTAAAAAATTTTTAATAAAATAATATATATTTTATTATATATTAATTTACTAACATGGTTATAATATTATAGCTGCCAAAGAGTTTGAAGCGTTGGAAATGTGCACAGCAGCTAAAATTAAACGTACTTGTGAAATGGTATTTGAACAATTGGAAACGGTACGTTCAAAGCTTGCTCAATCCCAACGAGAATTGGACGAAGTACAGTCGTTGCCGAAAGTTCTTGACTTTCTACCTGAGAAAGTTGAACAAGTGTTCAATGATCAACACCCTTGGTCTGAATCCAATATTAAATGTAGCAATGATCCTTTATTTACTGGTGATCCCTTTGCTGAGCTTAAATTGTGGTTGGACAAACAGTCTATCGAATCACAGGAAACATCTCTTCCAATTTCGACTAATAGTGAGTTTTTTTATATATATATATATGTATTCAAATAATTTTTATAAATTTGTATATTAATTTTACTTAGAACCTATTAAATTAATTACATCTAATTCGTCCATTGATGATCTTCCTAATTTCCTTGCACTGAGGCAGTCAAATGAAAATCAACCAGATCAAGTTATTGAACGAGTGAAATGGGTTAGTAAACCAAAACTTTCATTTAAACTTTAGAAAAAAATGTTATTAAATTTTTATTAGGAAGCACAAGTTCTTCAAAGAATAAATCAACTACAGCGTGATGGCTTATGGAGTGATAGGAGACTACCTAAAATATATGAACCTCCTAGGTTAAAAGCACACCATGATTATCTTCTTGAAGAAATGCAATGGCTTGCCACTGACTTTGCCCAAGAAAGAAAATGGAAGAAAAAAGCTGCTAAACAGGTAAAATTTGTTAAGGGTTGTAAATTTGAACATATTATAATGGTCATTCTTAACTTTGATTTTTTTATTTTTTAAGTGTGCAAATATGGTTAAAAAATATTTCCATGAAAAGAAGACTGAAGCTCAGAAAGCAGCTAAAGCTTCTGAAATGCATCAAAAAAGAATAACTGGTTTTATAGCTAAAATGGTCAAAACATTTTGGAGTAATGTGGAAAAGGTAAGGATTACTGATTAAAAATTGATATTTTATGAAAAATAATAATTATTTGAATTTAATTTTAGTTGGTAGAATTTAAACAGTCAACTAAACTGGAAGAAAAAAGAAAAATTGCACTAGACGAACATTTAAATTTTATTGTTGATCAAACTGAAAAGATGTCAACCCTTGTAGCTGAAAGTTTAATGAAATCTGCCAACAATTCCATGATTACCACTTCTCATAATTCGTCTTTACCTGACGGTAATTTTTTAAAAAAAAATTTGTAAAAATTATTGTTGGCATTACAAAAACGATTTATTATCTTTTTAAATTGTTTAATGTTTGAACCTTTATATTATGTTTTAATATGTTATGATTTTACTATCTGTGTATTTTAGAGTATATTAATCCTAGTCACACTTCTTCTGATGATGAAGAAACTATCGAAAATGATGAAAAACAAAATAGCAATGAATTAGAACGTAAAAATGAAGTCGATATGCTTAAAAAAGAATCAAAACTCTCTATTGATGATGTTCTGGATCAATTGCCAAAAGGTTACTTAGAAACTCGTGCCAAAGAACTTGAAAATAAAGTATTTTTTTTAAATTATTCAATATATTGAATTTAATTTATTTAACAAAGTTAAATATTGTTTATGTTCAAATATTAGAAAACTTCTTATGATAAAAGTGAAGATGAAGATTTTGAAGCTTCTAACTCTAGTTGGAGTGATGATGAAGAAACTTTGCTTATTGCTGAAAAAGAGGAGGGTGGCATTGATCATTCCAAGGAAATAGCTGAATTAGAGGTACAATACCTAATAAATTTCTTAATTTTTCATTTTGTTGAAGTATATCAATTATTAAATCTGCAATGCATATATATTATCAAAGAATTATTTTTAAGAATTTTGCATTATGGGGTATTGTATTGATAAAATTAGTTAGAGCCGCTTCAGAGATTCATGTCTATGAAAATAAAGTATAGTTATGCCCAAGACATGGAATTATTTTTTTAATTTAGAGAAAGTTTTTCTCCATAATTGAACTAATTCTTGAGGAGGTGATTTAACACAGGGAAGTTAAATATTTATTATCATTTAAGTTATATCAATCTATAACACTAGTAAAATTTCTAAAAGTGTCCTTAATGAATACTAAAAGTTGGGCCATTTCATGGTAATCTAGTAATATGAAAAATTGAAAAAGAAATATTTTTCTATTAGTTATCTTTATTAATAATATATATTGTATTTCCTTTAATACCTTAAGAATATTCATTCTGTTTTGATAGTTAACTTAATTTCCCTTAATTAATATACAATCAGCATAACAAATAAAAATACTTTAATTATTTGTTGTGTAATTGTGCATTACATTTACTTTTTTCAGGCTGAAAATGAAATGAGCATAGAACAGATATTAGCTATGTATAATGTACAGTTACCAAATAACAAAAATGACAATAATGATGATGATGAAGATGACGAAGAAGATAGTAGTAAGTTAAAATAATGAATATTAAAAAAAAATAGGTATTTTAATCAAATAATTTTTTTTTTTTAGGTATTGATTCCAGTTCAACCAAAGAAGAAATTACTACAGAGGATGTTGGGCTGAAATATTTATTACGTAAATCTCCTTCTAAAATGGTGTGTATTTTTATCACATTTTTGTCATTAGTTCATTAGAAATGTGTAAATTTATTTATAACTGAACTATAAGTAGATTTTTTTTCCTAAAATAATATAATACACTAATTTAAGCTAAATTTATATTTAATATTTTAATTCATAGCCTAATGGTACCAATGAATGCAATGCTGATAAAGAAATCAATGATGTAACGGCTTTGGCTGAAAGTATTCAACCTAAAGGAAATACTTTATCTTCAACAAGTGTAAATAATTTTGTATTGTAAAAAATATATATAAATTTATTTATTATTTGTTATTTGTTAAATAGGTGGTGACTAAAGTTCCATTTTTGTTAAGAAATACTTTACGAGAATATCAACATATTGGTCTAGATTGGCTTGTTACAATGTATGAACAAAATTTAAATGGAATATTAGCTGACGAAATGGGTCTAGGAAAAACTATACAAACTATTGCGCTACTTGCTCATTTGGCTTGTGAAAAAGGTAGTTAATTAAATTTTTTAAAGTTATTTATTATCAATTGAAAACAAAAGTTATTAATTGGTTATATTATTGTTTTTAGAAGATTGGGGTCCTCATTTAATTGTTGTTCCAACTTCTGTAATGCTTAATTGGGAGATGGAAATTAAGAAGTGGTGTCCCAGTTTTAAAATTCTAACTTACTATGGTTCTGTTAAAGAAAGGAAATTAAAAAGAATAGGTTGGACAAAACCTAATGCATTCCATATATGTATTACTTCTTACAAATTGGTCATAACAGACCATCAAAGTTTTCGAAGAAAAAAATGGAAATATTTAATTTTAGATGAAGCTCAAAATATTAAAAATTTTAAATCTCAAAGATGGCAACTTCTTTTAAATTTTCAATCTGAAAGAAGGTTGCTTTTAACTGGGACACCTTTACAAAACAACCTTATGGAACTATGGTCTTTAATGCATTTTTTGATGCCAAATATTTTTGCATCTCATCGAGAGTTTAAGGAATGGTTTTCTAATCCAGTTACTGGAATGATTGAAGGAAATGCTGAATATAATGAAACTATTATCAAGAAACTTCATAAAGTTCTTAGACCATTCATTCTTAGAAGGCTAAAGTGTGAAGTTGAAAAACAGCTTCCTAAAAAATATGAACATGTTATTATGTGTAGGCTTTCTAAAAGACAGCGATATCTCTATGATGATTTCATGTCTCGAGCCAAGTAAATTTTACTCATATTAAAGTTTTAGAAAAATGTTCTAAGTTTCTATTTTTAGGACTAAAGAAACTCTTGCTACTGGAAACATGCTAAGTGTTATAAATGTTTTGATGCAATTAAGAAAAGTATGTAACCATCCTAATTTATTTGAACCTCGTCCTACCATATCCCCTTTTCAAATGGAAGCTATAGCATATTCTATTCCTCGTTCAATTTTTAATATTTTGGAGTACAACCCGTTTAATGTAAGTAAAATTTTATTATTTTAACCTATTGATTATATAGAATGTTCAATAAGTAAGGAAACAGGTCAATTGTTACAAACCATGTTTCTTTATTTACTAAACAATTTTATATCAGTTACCCAGTGCAAGATGTGCTCCACGAATAATAGTGATATAGTTAGTATTTTGTTTGGGGAGATATATAAAAAAAATATTTTATCATTGGTTTAACTCACAACATATAACTAACTTTACCAGCCTCTTACCTGGTACAGGTGTCTTGCTTAACTTAACACCAGCTCTGCAATTTTCTTTCAATCTAAATGCATTGAAATTATTGAAGATTCCATGTGATTTTAAAGACTTTCAAAACTGACAAAAAAAAAATTTATTTTGGGTTTCTGTATCAATTTGTCTTTTTAAAAGTTCTTTTAACTATTTTTATTAGTATTAAAAAGTTGTATATAACATAAGTAACATAACACAACAAATAAAATAAGTAATTGTGGGAGTTGCTGGATCACTGGTGATAAAATTCCTTCCATCATTTATAGTTGGCACAATTACCACTAAAATTGTTTTAGATAAGGGTTTCTCTTTTACATTTAATGTATCAATGTAATTTTTTGCTTGATTAAAACGCTGAACATTAAAAAAAAATTTTAATTATAAAAAGTTATAATAACTAAGTTGTTGCTTGAAGTGCTTGAGGATATATCCATGTTTACAGTTGAGTTCTGATGTTTCGGACTCAGCTGTAAATATGAATATATCCTCAAACGCTTCAAGCAACAAGACAATCCATGAAAGCTTTAACACATTCATAACTAAGTTGTTTTTTCAATTTCTTATTTTATTAACTAGTCTAAGATTCGTAATATATATATTTTTTATTTAGGAAATTGATTTAAATTCTGTTAATTTACTTTTTACTCATTTGGAACTAATTATGAGTGCATGGATGGCTCATCGTCTGAAACGTTACCAGTTACCAAACACTGTATTTGATCAAGTTGATTCTCTGCCTGATAGCACAGCTAAACTTCCAAAAATTAAGATGAATTTTAACATGAAGTTACCAAAAAACCTTAATATAATTTCTAAGGTATCTGCAAATAGATATTTCGTCATTGTAACATTTGTAAATTTGCTCCTTATTTTAGATTAATGTTTCTAATCCTCAAAACAAGCTTGTAAATGTACGATTAAAACATACTATGCCTATAATCAAGCTTTTAGTTGAACGAGGAGTCAAAGGTGAGATTTTAATATTTTTTTTATTAACAATCAGTCTAATTAAAATGAAAATTTTTAGACTTGAAATTAAAATCTGTTGGAAATAACAAATTCAGAACTCCTGGGTTTACAAGTAAGACATTTGAAATTTTAAGTACTAGTTACTATTGATTTTAAACTATGATGCACTAAAAACATTTCTCAATATTAATTTTAATAATATAAATGATATGTAAAGTTAATTCTTAAATTTTATATCAATTAAGATAAATGAGAAATATTTTATTTTAGTTTATATTGATAATTATTTAATTTTTATTTTATCAGATATTATGTCATTAGCTCCAAAAATTCAACAGATAAAAGAAAATATTACTCTGAAAAAGGATAATGATTCATTATTTTGTATATCTAAAAATCGAACAAAAGTATTAAACCAAACATTGAATCAAAATGAAAACTCATTAAGTTTAAATGGTAATATTACTTATGTACACTAATAAATATTTGTTACTAATAATTAACCATAATTGTATATCAATTATTACACTTTAAAACTATATTTAAATCAAGTTCAATGACTTTTTTTATAGTAAAAAAATTTTTTTATTTACATTCTTTTTGCAATTTGGAGATTGCCATTTTTTATATTAGTGTTAAAGATAAATTTTGATACTAAAGACTCTTGTTTTAATTTACTCCTTAAGTTTTTAACAAAAGAACTGCATATTATTATTTGTGAAAATAATGTTTGAACGAGCTTTTTACAGTCATGATTATCTCATATCTTTCTTACAAAATGTTAGAACACATTTTTGTATATTAACTATAAGTGTTCGATTTATAGCCAAGTTAATTTGCCTAATTCTATCATTGATATGTTATAATTTTTGTAGTTATACCTAGAATTACTACAAAAATAATAAAATGGTGATGTATATTTTTTTTATGAATTATTGTTTTTTCCTTTGATGTAAAGATTGTTAATGTTATCTATAAAAAGGCTTATGTTTACTGTGGGTTAATTAATTCTGAGACTTAATCATTGATACCAAAAATAGTGTCGCACTTAAAGCTGTGCCTTACATTTATTACATTATGTATATAAATGTTTGCATTGTAGATCAATAGATATTCTTTACATGAATACATGTTTTTGCACCAATGCTATATTGACTTGCATGAAATTTTTTTATAAATTATTCATATATAATTGTAATTATATAAAGAATTTTCAGCACACATAAAACTTAAATTTAAAAAAAAATTATTATAAATTCTTGCAAAATTAAAATAAATTTAAAGTTATAATTTTTTGGTTAAAGATCATTTAAGAAAAACTAAATCAACACTTATAAAACATAAGGTATGAACTGAATGAGTAACATAGCATGTTACTACTTTTGGTATATATGTAAAAAGACAATTTAATATGGTAAAAATAACATTGAAGTGTTTTATAATATTCCACTGTGTTTGTAATACTAACTAATTTTAATAATTGTTTAAATAGTCAAATGAGTAAATCACGGTGAAATACTCCTTATAAATTAAAAAAAAATTTAATGTCTTACAAATATGCATTGAATTGTTTTATTGAACAGTGAATTTAATCACTGTCAAATATCAATCAATACTAATTTAAAAAATGCCTCGACTCTTACTGGATTCCTCTATTGTACTTTACTTTATTTTCCATATTAATGATAAATAATAATAAAATGCTTTAATGTGTATTTCAAGCTAATAAAAAAAAACACTATCATCATATCCAAGAATTATATTGTTTTTGAGTAAAGAGATCGATTACTTATAGAAGAAAAGTTGTCAGAAAGTCTTTCTTTTTTTAGTCATTGTACACAAAATGAACTTAAATTTGAATTAGTTTTGAATGATATAAGTGTTCTATTTTGGTATAAAAAATAATTTAAAATTAATCATTTTTAATGAAAATAGTATTATTTTTGATTTTAATATGGTTGATATTTCCTAGATAACAAAATTTTGGTTAGTTATTCATTTTTTGTCTTAAAGTTCATGGTATTAGCTTTAATATAATGTAGAGTTCAACTTCAGGTTTTTTTTTTTTTTAATATCGTTAAAAATTGAAAACAAAACGATTTTTTAGATCCACAGTAACTTGATTAATGATTGTATTTACAAAAAATATGCTTCAAATGTAATCCAAAACTAAAAAATTATTTATATAAATTTTTTTTGCGCGGAAGTGTTGGAAGCTGAAAATTTCTTGTCTAATTGGTTGAATCGTGTTACCATTTTTTTACCTGTTTTATTTTACACTTTTTATGTTTGGAGTGTGAAATGAAACTTAAATTAATCATGTATTATTAGCATATATCTTATAAATTATTATTTTTACTTAGGTAAATCAAATGGTAATTTAATATTAAAAGAATCTGTGATTGAAAGTAAAAATATTGGCACTGCTAATTCACCAACTATAAAAAAAGTAACCAACTCATCTTCATCAAACCTTAAATATTCATTATTGAATATATCTGACAATACAGTTTTCAATATTGTAAGACATTTTTTTTTAATGAAATATTTCCAAAAAATATATTTTTTTAATTTTTTTTTTTAGCCAAGTTTGAAAGAAAATCGACTTTTAAGAAGACAATCAAAAATGAGAACTATAAATTTTATAAATAATAAAAGAATTGATGGGGCTACTAATGTTATATATGGCTGTGATCTGCGAGATTTTATTCGCTTAAATCCTTCTTCTGGACATGTTGGAAACTCAAATTCTATCGATAGAAATCCTTGGCTATGGTTAGGATCCAATAATGTTTTATCTGTTGGTCATCAGTATTCTGCGCATATTCAACGAATGTCATATATGACTGCTGTTGCATTATCAGAGTCTGTCAAAACTGTAAACAGAAGAATGAAAGATTTACAAGATTCATTTGATCAATTTATTGTTTATGTACCAGCTGTTCAAGGAAGAACACCAAAGATTCAATTTAGTGTTATGAAAGATGAACCTCTGCTAGAATATCATCTTAAACCTTTTCTAAATTCACTACATCCAATCATTTCAGCTATGAGTGTTCTATTTCCAGACCAAAGACTCATACAATATGATTGTGGTAAATTACAATCTTTAGATCATTTACTCAGAAGATTGAAAGCAGGTCATCATAGAGCTTTAATTTTTACTCAAATGACTAAGATGTTAGATGTTTTGGAAGCATTTCTTAATTACCATGGATATATTTATTTGAGGCTTGATGGTACAACAAAAGTAGAAACAAGACAAGTAATTTGCTAGTTTATTATCTTATAAATTATTGATACTTATGAGTTATTATTTTTATTAGTTGTTAATGGAAAGATTCAATGCAGATAAGAGGTATTTTTGTTTTATTTTATCTACAAGATCTGGTGGTGTTGGTATTAATCTAACTGGAGCAGATACTGTTATATTTTATGATAGTGATTGGAATCCTACTATGGATGCTCAAGCTCAAGACCGTTGTCATCGTATAGGACAAACCCGTGATGTCCATATTTATAGGTTAGTTTTATGGAATTTTAAGATAGACATGTTTTAATTGAAATAATTTTTTAGATTGATAAGTGAAAAAACAATAGAAGAAAATATACTTAAAAAAGCTAATCAAAAGCGACTTCTAGGTGATTTAGCCATCGAAGGTGGTAATTTTACAGCTTCTTTCTTCAAATCTGTGAGTATAGAATAATTTATTTTATTATTAATTATTTTTTATTTATACAATTTCTTTATTCATGTGTAGACTACTATACAAGAACTATTTGAAGTTAACACTACTGATGAGAAAAGAAGTGCCCATATTCTGGAATCTGAATTTTCACAATCTCAAAGTAACATTGAAGGAGATAGACATGCAATTAATATTTTTGAAAATGCTCTTGCAGCAGCTGAAGATGAAACTGACGTTGTAGCTGCTAAAATTGCTAAAGAAGAAGCTGTTGCAGATTTGGCTGAATTTGATGAAGCCATCCCAATTGATGATCAAAATGATACTAAATTAAGCAAAGCTGATTTAGAAGTTCAAGCTCTTGAAAAACAAGTATGTTATATTTTATTTTTAACTTGAGTAGCTGGTCATATATTTTAATTAAAATTATAGAAGTAATCAGTTACAATTAGCCATTTAAATTGTTTCATAAAGAAGATTTCTTTTTAAAAATTAAAACTTATACTGAACACTATATAGAATGTTTAGTAAGTAAGGAAAAGAGCTTCTATTGTTTTCATTGTTGGTAACAACTGACCTGTTTCCTTACTTATTGAAACTGTATATTAAGGTAGTCCTTAGTTATAGATAGAGATAGTTTCTGTATTACATGAGTGGATGTTAGTAAATAAAATACATAATATTAGTTAAAAAAAAATTTTATATTATGAACCTCATCTGATCTGTGTAATTTGTTTTATTTGTACACGTAGTTTAATTGTTCATAAGTAGTATACTAAAATATTTATCATAAAAATCGAATTGTTAATTTTATGGAACTACATCCTTGATAAAAATTTAATCCAGATTCGTGAAGCTATGAAATATTACATTTTTGATCATTAAGTTTTAATTTAAGTATCATTTGGAGGTCATTATGTGTATGAATTAAATTTTAATTTTATAGTTATCACCACTAGAAAAATGGGCAATGTCATTTATAGAATCCTCAGAAATGGATTGGGCTTCCCAACAAATGGCAGCTGCTGAGGCTGAGTTAGAGCAGCAAAAACAAGAATGGAAAGTTGAACAACAACAAGCGGCAAAACGTACAGAAGAAAGGATCAATCAAAAGCGCAAACATCCTGAATCTGATGGCGAAGAAGAAAAAGATAATGAGGATTTAACTTTCATCAATAAGTTTCAGGTTAAAAAGCGAAATAGTATTACCCCTAAAACGTTAGATAGACCAAAAAGAAAAATTAAAAATAAATTGAAGCATTCTGAAAATAGACCCAATTTAGAAATTAGAACTAGAAGGAAAAGTAGTTATGGTCTAAGAACTCAACAATAAATAAGTTTTTAAAAAAATTTTTGTTACATAACTTGTTTTATTCTCTCCCAACAGAGAATTATTTTTTTATTATTTATACATAATGGTTATTAACACAGGACAAGTTAATTTTGTAAACAATTGTGAACATTTTTATATATATATATCTTATAATTAAAAAATATATTAATTCTATGTGTCATGGTTGTTTTTCTTTTATGTTTCCTGATAGCTTCTCAACAAGGTTGGGCTCTGTTTTGGTGTCCCTCATTAGAAGCATACTCTTCTCTAGCTCTCGCAGTGCGTTTATAATGATTTTCTTTTTTTTTTTTTTTTTTTTCCATTTATGTATACATATATAATTATAATTATGGGATTTTCCATTTAAATTTTAACTTTAAACTTTCCTTACAATATTTTTTTGTTTTAATTTTAAATGTACATGGATATAAACTCAAGCCGATCGTTTTTTTGTTTGGTCTGGCATAGAGGTTGTCACCAAAACACAAGCCCCTCCTTGCCAGTCCAAACGGGACTGGCAAACGAGACTGTCTGAAACAAATAAAGAAAAACATCGTACCGCACAAAGAGCAAGAGAAGATTACTTCTGATGATATGATGTGGCATGCTCATGGATATACTTAAATGTAATATAGATATTTATAATTTATTTAATTAATAAAATACTTAATGTCATTTAGTCTGATATTACTCTTGATATCAGGACAATTTAGTATTCCAAATATCTTATTACTGAAAGAACTATTTTTAAGAAGCTCTTATATTCCTAATTAAATTCTTGCTTATGTGGCATATTCAATTTATATAATATAAATGTTTTTATTGAGGCTTTAAAATTTGACATTAATGTAATGTAAAAAAATGCACACTTTATTTTTATCTTATAAATATACAGCTCAACAACTAAATTAATAAAATGTATAAACAACAATATTTAAAATTTTGAGGAATTACACTCTTTGATGATTTTCTTTGTTTTTGCTTTTTAGCCCTATCTAGCGACCTCCCCCAAAAGGTGTGGTTTTCTTGAACAAAAATACCCTGGTGCGAGTGGTTAGGCTGTCGCTGGAGAACACACTTTAATGATAATAAAAAAATGTTCTTTATTAAAATTAAAAATAAAATTTTAATGCAATTAAATGTTATTAAATTATAACTGAAAACCTTACCAAAAATTTGAGTGTATGTTACAATTTTTTCAATAAATTGTAAATTTCATATTGCCAAAACATTGATGTACATGAAATACTTTAAAAATAAATTGTAAAATAATGTATTTTTAGGAGTCTTAAGGGAATAAAGTTTTATTTTTTCCATTTTTTGTTGCATAGGCCAAAGATGTCGTTATGTCTTGTCACTGAAACACTAAAACAGTAAATTTTTTATTATGTGTTGCTAGTCATTGTTTCAATAAATAGTATAAGAACATGTTATTTTGTTCTTAAACATGACTGCCCTTTTATAGTGTTTAATATAATTGTACAATAGTAATGAAATAATATTGCTTATAATATATTTCAAAAATAATTATGCTTTTGAAAGTAAATGTTTTATTTTGTATTTTATTCATTGCAACCTGTTTTTGCACTAAAGTTGTAAACACTATTTAGGTTACAAAAACGTATTTTATGAAATCAAAGTATTAAAATATATTAATTGAATATACTAATATTTATTAAAAAAAAAAAAAAATGATTAAAACATGAAATTATTAAAAATTTATACTTCACAGTATTACAATTTTTTTAAAATCAACCTTAATAAATAAATATACCAAAATAATTAAATAAATAATATTTTTAAGGAAAAAAAAAATTAAAATACTGCTACAGTTAACTTCAAAATATCTTTATTTTAAATTTTAATGGCTAGTTCAATTTTCAACAGCCAATTAGAAGATTATATTCTATTAAATATTTTATATCATTTATCTTAGTATATTTTGATTGTTCAAATTTTTTAAATTTTAGATAATTTATCCTAATCATGGTTCAAAAAAATCAGATGTTCCTAAGGTGAGATTTCTTTTAGTAATTAAATTTGATTAATTTATTAACTCATAATCTACTCATTTAGCAATTAATTATTGGACCGTGGTCATTTGAAAATGAGTTTTATCATGACCCTTTATACTTCAATCAATACTGCTATTCCCCTATGACTGAAGCTCAACTTCCTCCTTTACCTTCATCTCGAAAGCGACCAAGAACTGATGCCACTTTTATAAGCAGTATGAACTATTTTAACTTTTGTTTTTGTCAAAGCCATAAATTTTTAGTTTTTAGCTAATCAAGTAATTTTTTTTTCATAGATCGTTCATGTTTACCTGCATCATTGTCATCAAATCCTAAATCAATTTATGGTACTCGTGATAATAATGCTGGTGAATGGTTACCGAATGAAAATACTTTTCCACACTTACCCCGTTCTATGTTTGATCGTGCTTCTGGCGCATTACTTAAAATGAGAAATGATATTCGCTTACAACGCTATCGTGGAATTAACAGACCTATGAATATGACTCTTGCAAGTCTTAAACCACCTTTACCAGCACGGCCGGTTCAAGAACCAGCTCATGTTCCAGATTGGCTTATACATGAAGATTATGCTTTATTACAGGTGTGGTGTGGATGAAAATTCTCTAAAATTTTAAGTTTATTTTCTTTGTTTTAATACTGTTTAATGTAAAATTATTTATTTTAGGCCGTACAAAGAGTACAAGAAATGACTCTAAATTTAGTTATATTATGTCCAGCCCATACACCTAATTGGGATTTGGTTTCTGAACTAGTTAATATGATGTCTCGTGTCTACAGGTCCCCCAAACAGTGTAAAAACCGGTAAGCAAATTTTTTTTTATTATTTAGATAACATAGAATTTTTTTTTTTTTTTTTTTTTTTCATTGAAAAAGTGCCTTAGCTTTTAGAGCCATTGATTACTGTTACATTATATTTACATAATTATTATTACGATTTGAAGAAACCCTTTTTAAATAATCAGAATTTCTTTAAATAATAAAATTATCTAGTAATACTACTATATTGTGAAAAACAGTCTAAAGCTACTCTTCAAGGTATAATGTTAAAAACAACTTTTTTAACACAAACTGTAATTACGTTTAAATAGTATAAGTAACTTCTAAGAATTCCATTTTCTTCATATTAATGGACACCTAAATTTTTGTATCTCATTATTGTTGGCTACTCAATAAAACATTTAATCATAATAAAAAAAAACTTATTTTTAGAGATCAAATAAAAAAAGTTTATCACTTTAACTATAAGTATAATTTGATAGTTGATACATAAAAACTTTATTAAGTAGTCAACAATGTAGTCCACAAATAATTTTATTTTTGTAAAAATACTGAAAATAATAATACATGTTTTGTATTTATTTTTTTCAGTTATGAATCAGTTATAGTAGCTCGAGAAGAAGGTCGAATGTTGCAAGAGCAATTGTTAAAAAAGCAAAAAAAAGTAAATCATTGTTATACAGAGTGTCCCAATGTGATTTACCAATTTGACAATGTATACTAATATTAAAATTAGTAAATCACAGTGGAACACATATTTAGAAATGTAAATAATATATATATTTTTTATATTTCTAGTTGGGTATTTAATTAATTATCATTAAATATTTGATTTAATCAACTAATATTTGAATTATTATAGAAAATCAATCGAGGCTTGCGCACTTCTCAAATCTACACATCAGATGATAACAGAACACATACTCAGCTACTTATATCACGTTTTAATGGTTTATTATCTGTGGCTGCTAAACGACAACCTCTTTGTAGAACAAATAATCAATCAACATCAAGTCAATTAGCTAATACACCATTAATTCCTAATGCTAGTCATATTAATATTCTCAAGGAAAATTATGATGTGGATTACAATGTGCCATTAGGACCAATGCAAGTTATAAGTCGCCGAACAGATCGTATGATTCGAGAAAAACAACAGCAACAACTTGCAGATCCCTCATCTTCTGTTAGAATTCAACAGCAACAAGCCCCAACTGTTAAATCTATACAGCTACCCAATTCTTTGCCCACAACACAACCTGCTGTTGTTAGTCCGGTATCGGTAAGACCTTCAACTTCTACTCAACATCGTATAATTATGAGCTCTCCTTCAATTGTTCAAGTAATTGAAAAAAAAAAAATTTTAATGAGTTTCAAACTTTTTAACGTTAATACAAACATGTATTTAAATACAAATATAATTTTAGGATTCTAATATTCAAAATATTCCTCAGTCAAGCCCAAAAGTAGTTCCTATGTCTGTCCATTACTCTGCTGCTGTTCAACGAGCATTAAATTTTACCCAAGCTTCAATAGTTACTCAGGCATCATCAACTACTGGAAAAAGTACTATTTAATTAAAAATTATTTACATTCAGTATATTAAATTAATATTTTTCTAGTTGTTACCACTATGAACAAAACTATAACTCAATCTCAAATTCAAATGTATCGTCAACAACAACAAAATATTGCAAGACAGCAACAAGTTAAAATGGTCAGTGCACGAGCTACTAACAAAACTTCTAGTACTAATATTCCAGTTCAATCTTCTCAAACTTCAACTAATATGAATGTTCGACCTAAAAGTGCAATAAATACACGGAATATTACTGATACTGATGTAACCAACTTTATTAAAAGACATCAATTATTACAACAGAAACAAGCTCAGTGTGGTACAACTCAGTCTACAATATCATCTGCCAGCCCGTCGATAGTTAAAACATCTGTACAAAATCTTATGCTTTCCACTGGTACTAAAAATGCGTTAACTGTAGCTGCTACCACAAAAAATATTAATCCTCAACAGCAATTCAGACAACTTACTTTACAACAGCCAATGTTGGCACACCGTAAAATACCTGCTCAAAAAGTTACTCAGCTGAGTCAAGTTGTGGTACATTTTTTATTTATTCAATTTTTTTTTTTTTTTTTTTTTTTTT